TAGCTAGCTAACTAGCTAGCTAGCTGCAAGTGGCTCGCTAGCAAGCCAGATTGCTAGCTAGCTAGCTAGCTAGCTAGCCACAGCTAGCTGCAGGCGGTTTGCTAGCTAGCCAAATTGATAGCTAGCTACAGCTAGCCACAGCCAGCTGCAGCCGCTTATTTAGCCCCAGCGAGCAACTACCCCCAGCTAGCTACATCTGCCGCTGGCTAGCTGGCTGCAGATCTAGCTAGCTAGCCACAGCTAGCCAGAACTGGACGTACTTAGGAGTAGCTAGCTGTGGCTAGCTGTAGCTAGCTGTAGCTAGCTCTAGCTAGCTGTAGCAAGTCGTAGCTAGCCGTAGGTAGCTGCGTCTAGCTGCAGCTAGCCGTGGTTTGCTGCAGCTAGCTGCAACTAGCTGCCGCAAGTCGCAGCTAGCCGTGGCTTGCTGCAGCAAGCTGCAGCTAGCTGCAGCTAGCTGTGGACAGCTGCAGCAAGCTGTAGCTAGCGGTGGTTTGCTGCAGCTAGCTGTGGCTAGCAGCAAGTATTTCAGTTTGCTTCTTTTTGCTGCTGCAGATCTCCTAATTTGCTGCTTTTGTTTGCCTAGACGCAGCAGGAGCTTCCGTGGCTGCCAATACACTAAACTAGGGTTTAGGGTTTAGGGTTTAGGGTTTAGGGTTTGGAAACTGCGAAAGCTCCTCGGCTCTTGCAAATGAGCTTCTAAAGCCACTTATTAGAAATTACTTTCTATTATTATTACTTTATTTATTTATTTATTTATTTATTTATTTATTTTATTTATTTATTTATTTATTTTTTATTATTTGTATTTTAGAAGTTAAAAAAGTGGAAAGCAAAAATAATTCAAATTCAGCAGCAGCCAGCTGCTGCGTGCATGCAGTTCATGTTGCATGCAAAGTTTGGATTTGAAAGAAAAAAAGTTTTTAATGTTTTTAACTTTAAACAAATTTAAAAAATAAATTTAAATTTATTTTAATTTAATTTATTTATTTTAATTAGATCTTTTAATGCTCTGAATGGCATTTATTTTCAAGCCTTCCGAGCACTTTGAATTAAAACCTGATTTAATTAATTTAATTTAATTTAATTAATTTAATTAATTTAATTTAATTTAATTTAATTCATTTAATTCATTTAATTTATTTTATTTTAAACACTTTTATTGTGTGCAACAACACCAGACACTTCATAAATTCAATTTCACATTTCCACTTTTGTTAATTTAATTTCACAATTTCTTTTCTTTATAACAATTCGCATGCTCGCAAACATAGGCATTTAATGCTTCTTTACACACCCCAAACCCCAAACCCTAAACCCTAAACCCTAACGAGGGTTTAGGGGGGCCTTGGGGCCCCCAAAGAGGGTTTAGGGGGCCCCAAGCGGGTTTTTGGGGGCCCCCAGGTGCCGTTTATAGTTTAATTGCACTTTGTCAATTTAATTTACTTTTTTTAATCTTTATTATTTTTAATTTAACTTCAGAAGGGCCTGCAGCAGCTTTTGCTGCTTCCGGGCCTCTGGCCTATTCAAAAAGCTGCAGCAAATTCAAAAAGCCTGCTGCTGCTGCTGCTGCTGCTGCTGCTGCTGCTGCTGCTGCTGCAGCAGCACTTGCATGCATGCGCAGCAGCGCGGGCACAAGACGCATTTGCATGCACATGAAATGGGGCTTTGCATGCAAATTCAGGAAGCATTTGCATGCAAATTTTGGAGACTCCTGCATGCGTTTGCATGCAACTTTAGGAGGCATTTGCATGCAAATGGAATGAGACTTTGCATGCAAACTCAGGGACATTTGCATGCACTTGCATGCGAATTTAAGAGGCACTTGCATGCAAATGGAGTGAGCCTTTGCATGCAAATTTAGGGGGCATTTGCATGCGAATTTATAAGACATTTGCATGCATTTGCATGCAAATGGAAGGAGCCTTTGCATGCATTTGCATGCATTTGCATGCATTTGCATGCAAATGGAATGAGCCTTTGCATGCATTTGCATGCAAATTTATTAAGCATTTGCATGCAGAGCTGACAAGCGCTTGCATGCAAATTCTACCTGCATGCAAACAAAACAAAGACTTGCATGCAGCTTTGCATGCAGTATTTGCATGCATTTGCATGCATTTGCATGCAAATGCTGCATGCATTTGCATGCATTTGCATGCAAGCTGGAAATTGCACTGCAGGACGTTGCATGCCTTTGCATGCACGCAGAAGAGTGTCGAGGAAAGCAACGGCGGAAAACCCGCAGCAGCCGCAGCAGCAGCTGCAGCAGCAGCAGCAGCAGCAGCAGCAGCAGCAGCAGCAGCAAGTCAGGCCTCAAGCAAGCTGCTGCTGCGGCGGTAAAAGCCCCGCTGCAGAGTCTCTCTGTCTATGACAATGTACATTCCGCTGTTGTCCAAAACTGTCCACCGCTTCACGTTGCTCTGGTAACGCTTCCGCAGCGTCTCCCTGCAGCAGCAGCAGCAGCAGCAGCAGCAGCAGCAGCGGCAGCAGCAGCAGCAGCAGCAGCAGCAGCGGCAGCAGCAGCAGGATCCCGCGCAAAGTCGTAGTCAACAGTAGCAGCAGTAGAATGATCATCACTAACATCCCGCCCCAACCTTCCCTTCCTCCTCCCCCTGCTCCCCAGCAGCAGCAGCAGCAGCAGCAGCTGCTGCTGCTGCTGCTGTTGACCTGCTACCACTACTGCCAGCGTTGCAGCTACTGCTGCAGCTGCTGCTACTACTGCCGCTGCAGCAACTCCCACTACTCCTACTTTAACCGCTGCAGCTGCAGCAGCAGCAGCAGCACCTGCTGCTGCCGCTGCCGCTGCTGCTGCTGCTGCTGCTGCTGCTGCTGCTGCTGCTGCTGCTGCTGCTGCTGCTGCTGCACCTGACGAATTGGGGGTGCTTGTTGGGGTGCTGCGCAGTTTGCTCGATGGCCTCGAGTTCGGCCAGCAGCGGCTCGACGAGGACTTGGAGAAAAAAAAGTTGATTTTGAGCCAGACTTTGGTGGGCCTCTCTGTTGCAAACTGAAGACACGGGCAGCTTCAGCCTTCGCTCTGCGTCGCCCTGCAGCAGCAATCAGAAAAGAATTAAAAAGACTTAAAAAGAATTAAAAAGAATTAAAAAGAATTTTAAAAAATTAAAAAAAATTAAAAAAAATAAAAAAAATTAAAAAAATTGAAAAAAATCAAAAAAATGCAGAAAATTCATCAAAATGGAACAAGAGGGAGGGCGGGCGAGGGTCGCAGCTTTCGCATGCATGCGCAACCTGCTGCTGCTGCTGCTGCTCGTTGCCCCTGCGCTGCAGCGCCGCCGTTGCACCCCCCGCCGCCGCTGCTGCTGCTGCTGCTGCTGCTGCTGCTGCTGCTGCTGCTGCTGCAGCAGCTCACCTGCTGGTAGAACTCCTCGGATATCTTGCAAGTCCACACGAGGTGGTCTTTCCAACACAACAACGCGTGAGACAAATCCGCCATTTTCAAAAGCATTTTTCGAACGTGAAGAGCGTCTTCTTCGCGGACAAATAAGTTGAAGTCCGGACAGGCCCGCCGGCTCTTAGGCAAACAAACAAATACTTTTTATTTATTTTAATTAATTAATTAATTAATTAATTAATTAACTAATTAATTAATTAATTAATTAATTAATTAATTAATTAACTAATTGGTTAGTTAGTTAGTTAGTTAATTAGTTAGTTAATTAATTAATTGGTTAATTAGTTAATTAGTTAATTAGTTATTTAATTAATTAATTAATTAATTAATTAATTAATTAATTAATTAATTAATTAATTAATTAATTAAGATTAATTAACCAATTAATTAATTAATTAAAATAAATAAATAAAAACTCACTTTGCATCTGGAGACTAAGTCAATATGTTCTTTCATGTCAGTGGCCAAAATGAGGGCAATGATTTGTTGCCTGAGAGCTTGATAAGACTGCGAAAATAAAATTGAAGTTTGGAATTCAAATTTGTTGGAATTAAAAGAAAATAAAAGACTTTTGGAGAAATAAAAACAATTTAAAACCCAATTGGACATTTAAAAACAAATTTAACTCCTAAATATCTTCAAATGGAACTTCTTTTCGAAAAATTCGAACTTAAATTTTAAAAATTCGAAAAATTCAACAAGTTCAGATGCAGCCTTGTTTTTGATTTTTCGTTTTTTGTTTTTTTTAGTTTTAATTTCTTTTAAACTTCTTTTCAATTCAAATCTTCTGCCGTTTTGATTCTTTTAATGCAAAAAAAATAAATTATATTTAATTCATTTAATGCAAAAAGAAACATAGATTAAAGTAAATTCATTTAGTGCAAAAGATAAATTGAATTAAGTTCATTTAATGCAAAAAGAAAATAAATCAAATTAAATCCATTTAATGCGAAAAGAAAACACGTTAAATTAAATTGAATTAAATAAAATTAAGTTTCTTTAATGCACAAGCTAAATCAAATCAAATTAAATCAAATTAAAGTAAATCAAATCAAATTAAACCAAATTAAATTAAATCAAATCAAATTACATCAAATCAAATTAAATCAAATCAAATTAAATCAAATTAAATCAAATTAAATCAAATTGAGTCAAATTAAATCAAATTAAATCAATTCAAATTAAATTAAATCAAATCAAATTAAATTAAATTAAATTAAATTAAATGAAAAACAAATCCCACCTCTGGGTTTTGCGAACAGAAAATGTTCGCCGAGGGGCTGCGGGCAAAAACGCGGAAAAGAAGAAAAGAATTTAAATTTAAATTAATTTTTTGAATTTGAATTTAATTGCAAATACTTGAATTAGAATTTGATTGCAATTTAATTTGAACCTGATTACAATTTAATTTGAATTTAATTTGAATTTATTTTATTTTTAATTTCAACTTCATCAGCTCAACCAAACTTTTATTTTGAAGTTCATTTGCATTTAAACTGGGATTTAATTCACTTTGAATTTAAAAAACAAAAAAGAAAAAAAGAAATTAATTTCATTCACTCCAAACCACTTTCAACCCATGTTGCGGTGTACGTACACCTGAACGCGGCGCTGCAGTGTACGGACAGCTCGGTTTGGAGCGCCACAAACGCGGAAAAAAGCGGAAAGTGGAATTTAAATTTATTTCCAAAAGCACTTTCGAGCGCATGCATTAGCGCATGCAGCATTTACATTTCGTTGATGATTCGAAACAAAACTGAAGCATGAAAGTTTTCCAAAATGGACTTGTCGTTGTAAATCGTCGCCAGCGGGTGTCTAGACTGCTGCAAAAACCCATTTGTCTTTCCCAAGTGGCCCACGTCGTGCGCCAGCGCCGCCAGCCCCAGGCAAAACGTCCCCGTCTTCTCCCTGCATGCATGCATGCATGCATGCATGCATGCATGCATGCGTGCATGCATGCGTGCATGCATGCGTGCATGCATGCGTGCATGCATGCGTGCATGCATGCATGCATGCATGCGTGCATGCATGCGTGCATGCATGCGTGCATGCATGCATGCATGCGTGGGGTGCATGCGTGCGTGGCTGGGGGCAGTTGAGGTGGAAAAAGGGAGTGCGGGACACTGGTGAAACTGTTTTGGGCTAGTGCATGCATGCAGTCCACTGCATGCATGCATGCATGCATGCATGCAGTCTAATGCATGCATGCGTGCAGGGAAGTGCATGCATGCATGCGGTCTAATGCATGCAGGCACTTTAATGCATGCATGTAGTTCAATGCATGCACGCAGTTTAGTGTATACTGCTGCTATTGCTGCTACAACCGGTGCTGCTGCTGCTACTTTTGTTGCTGCTGTTGCTTCTTCTATTAAAGCTGCTGCTGCTGCTGCTGTTGTTTCTTTTATTAAAGCTGCTGCTGCTGCTGCTGCTGCTTCTTCTATTAAAGCTGCTGCTGCTGCTGTTGCTTCTTCTATGAAAGCTGCTGCTGCTGCTGCTGCTGCACCAATTACTGCAACTGTTGCTGCGGCGACCCTCTTTGGTTTTTCTGCTTCTGTCTGCCTGCTAGCTGCTGACAATCGAACTGGCCAATTAACTGAATTAATTAATTAATCATTGAAGTTGGAGAATTAATTACTTTAACTAATTAATTAATTAAATTAATTTAATTAATTTAATTAATTTAATTAATTTAATTAATTTAATTAATTTAATTAATTTAATTAATTTAATTAATATCTCTTTCTGCAAACGAAGGACTGCGAGGGTTTTGTGTTTGAATTGGGGTGTATAGACAGCTCGGAAGAACGCCGTTTGCTGGAAACTGTTGAATTGGAGCTTAAACTTCGGCATTTTTGATTTAAATTGAATTAAAAAGTATTTAATTTGAAAATAATTCATTTTAAATGCCTAAATTACCTCAAAGGATCAAGAGCTAGCTTCGTGTTCAAGACCATTGCTGCATGCGCCACCTGCGCCGCGTGGGTGGCTGTGTGGTAGGGAATGTCGGGGTCGTATCTTGCCTAAATCCAAATAAATAAAATAAATAAAATAAATAAAATAAATAAAATGAATAAAATAAATTAAATAAATAAATAAATTAAATAAATAAAGTAATATAATTAAATTAAATCAATTAAATTAAATTAATTAAGTTAATAAATGGTAATAAATAAGCAACAGTGGCGGCAAAGAATGAACAAGAAATTAACCGGAAGTGCCAAATCAAAGCAGCAAAAAAAGAAATAAATCAAAAAATTAATTAATAAATAAACTTTCACTTTCATTTAATTTATTTTAAATAAAGTGAAAATGTGAAATTAATTTAAAACAAAATTAGACAAAGAAATACAAAAAATAATTAATTTGCGAAACAAATGAGGAAATCAAAAGCAAAAGAATTGCAATAAGCAAGTACATAATAATAATATTAGATCGTAATAAGAAAAACAATAATAATAATAATAATAATAATAATAATAATAATAATAATAATTATAATTATAATAATAATGATGATAATAATAATAATAATAATGATAATAATAATAATAATAATAATAATAATAATAAACGGCAAACAAGCCAAAATCTGAAACTCCTTTTGCACTTCAAATTAAAAAAAAGAAAAAACTCTGCAGCAAAGACATGAAGTCTAAAAAGCAAAAAAAGTTTAAAAAAAAATCAAAAAGTTTCAAATTGATAATTATTAAATGGTCTCCAAAAATTAAAAAGGAATTCTAAAAATCCTAAATCAATAATTATTGAAATGGCCAATTAACAAAAAGGAATTCAAAAAGTCTCACATTAACATTCATCAAATATTCTATTAAAAAACAATATTCAGCAGCAGCAGCACAAGCAGCAGCAGCAGCAGCAGCAGCAGCAGCAGCATCACCATCATCACCATCACCATCACCACCACAACCACCACTACCACCACCACCACCAACGCCACCACCAGCCCTATCAGCAGCAGCAGCAGCAGCAGCAGCAGCAGCAGCAGCAGCAGCAGCAGCAGCAGCAGCAGCAGCAGCACAGCGGCGCGGACCTCGATGTGCTGCAGCAGCTGAATGACGGGGTTGCTGCCGCAGCCCAGCACCTTCACGAAGGGCCGCAGCAAAACCCACCCCACCCGCTGCAGCATTCCTTTGTACTTTTGCGACAAAGACAAAATGTCTGTGTCCCACTCCAAACCAATGCCTCCAAACGAGGCCCCGGGGGCCCCCCAAGGCCTCTGCATGCAACACATCTCAACTCCCGCTTTTCTTCCTCATTCTAAGCCTTCAGGGGGCCCCCGGGGGCCCCCTGGGGGCCCCTGGGGGCCCTCAAAAAGGCCCCCAAAGAGGCCCCAGGGGGGCCCCAGGGGGCCCCAGGGGGGCCCCAGGGGGGTCTCAGGAGGCCCCCAAAGAGGCCCCAGGGGGCCCCCAGGGGGCCCCAGGGGGCCCCAGGGGGCCCCCAGGGGGCCCCAGGGGGGCCCCAGGGGCCCCCACGGGGGTCTTCGAAATAAGAAATGGGGAAAAGGGAGAAAAAGGGAAAAGGGGAAAAAGAAAAAGGAAAAGAAAAAGAAAAGAAAAAGAAAATAAAAAGAAAATAAAAAGAGAATGAAAAGAAAATAAAAAAAATAAAAATGGAAATGGAAATAATGGTGGCAAAGAAGATTAGAACTGAGAAAAGAAAAAAAGAGAATTTAAAGGATAAAGGGGAGATAAAAAGGAATAAAATAAAATGAATTAAATAACTTAAATGAATTTAATAAACTGAATAAATTAAATAAATTTAATAAATTTAATAAATCAAATAAATTAAACAAATTAAATAAATAAAAATAAAATGGAACAAAAACAATAAAAGGAATAAAAGTGAAAAGAATAAAAGAAAAATAAAAATGGCAAAACAAAAAAGTGAAAAAAAAGAATGAAAATAAGTACGAAGAGAATACCAAGGATTGTTTGCCATCTTATTCTTTTTTTATTTTCCATTTATATTTATTTATTTATTTATTTATTTATTTATTTATTTATTTATTTATTATTTATTTATTTATTTATTTTATTTATTCATTATTTATTTATTTATTTATTTATTCGCTTTCCAGCCAGTTTGCTGCTTACCGAGGAGGCTTGGCCAAGCGTTTCGAACGAGTCCTTCCTTGCTGCTGCTGCTGCTGCTGCTGTTGCTGCTGCTGCTGCTGCTGCTGCTGCTGAAAAGCCAGCCCGCCTTCTTTCTCTTGTGTCTCTTTTGCTTCGATTTTGCTGCTCTTTAATCTTTTCTAATCTTTCTTCTTTTTCGTCTTCGCTTCCAATATAAATCCCAGGCCCGCAGGGGCCCCTGGGGGCCCCCAGGGGCCCTTCAGTCTTTTTAGTATTAGCAGCAGTTTCGGGGGCCCCAAAAGCCCCAAACCCGGGGGCCCTGGGGGCCCCGGAGGCCCCGGGGCCCCCGGGGCCCCCTAGGGCCTCAGGGGCCCCTGGGGTCCCCTCAGGGGCCCCCCGAAAAAGCCCCCCTGGGGCCCCTGGGGGGCTTTCAGGGGCCCCGGGGGCCCCCTGGAGCTCTGGGGCCCCATTGCCCGGGGGGCCCCTCTGGGGCCCTAGGGGCCCCGGGGCCCCTGTGGGGCCCCCGGGGGCCCCTGTGAGGAACTCTGGGGCACCTGGGGGGCCCCCTAGACCCCGTGAAGCCCCTGGGGGCCCCCCATCAGGCCGGAGGGTACCAGGTGGGGCCCCCGGGGGGCCCCCCAGTACCCTGAGCGCTTGGCCGGGGGGCCCTCCCCCGGGTTCTGCTGCTGCTGCTGCTGCTGCTGCACTTCTTCGGAAAGGATAGCAGTGTCTAAGAAAGAGAAAAGAAGGCCTTAGCTGCAGAGAGACCCCGCTGGAGGGTCTTCTTTGTGCTGCTGCTGCTGCTGCTGCTGCTGCTGCTGTGGGGCCTCTCCGCGCAGCAGCAGCTGCTGCCAGAGGGGGCGGGGGGCCCCTCGGCTGCTGCTTGGCCCTTTGGCTGTCGCTGCGTGGGGAGGGCAGGGGCGCAGCAGCAGCAGCAGCAGCAGCAGCAGCAGCGGGGCCGTCTGCAGGCCGCTCGTCGCCAGCAGCAGCAGCAGCAGCAGCAGCAGCAAGCACTGCAGCAGCAAGTGCAGGCGACTCGGGCCGGGCCAGCGGCTGCACTACGAGGCCCCCCCCCGAGAGGGAGCGGAGCCAGTCGGAGCCGCTGGACCTGGCGCTGCTGCTGCTGCTGCCGCCCCCGCCGCTGCTGCTGCTGCTGCTGCTGCTGCTGCTGCTGCTGCTGCTCTTGAAAGAGCTGCACAGCCGCAGCCAAGGCCCGTCTTCTAATAAACAACTGCTGCGAATCATTTCTTGACTTCGAGAAGGCAGCAGCGGCGAAGGCAAAGAAGAGCCTTCTCCGCTGCCAGCGCGTTCGGGCTGCAGCCGGAAGCGGGTCAGCCAGCGCTGCAGCAGCAGCAGCAGCAGCAGCAGCAGCAGCAGGAAGCAGCGGCTGCAGCTGCAGCAGCTAAGGCGGCAGCAGTTGCTGCAGCAGCCGCAGCAGCAGCGGCTGCAGCTTGTGCATGCAGCTGCGCTCCTCTGTGCTATGTGGACTCCCTAAACTGAC